GTCTACACATTAAAAATGGAAAGAGTTAGGGAGAATAAAATGAACACTGGAATAGTTTTCCAACGTGGTTGATAGACCTCAAATTGTTCATGGTTTTCAAAGAAGATTGCCATCTTTTAAAGTCAACAGCTGCTGAGTTAAACTCAGCAGGTACTGCTTAAAATTCTCTGGCCTGTGCCAGGCAGATGACAAGACATTTAATTTACCTTTTTTCAGTTTTTCTGATAAAATTCTAGGTGAGACAGGTTGAGCTTCCTTGGTTACTCTGTGAAGATCTGGTACTTCCTAGCTGTGGAGGTGAAATCTTGATGCAAATCTTGAGCCGTTTGCATCTTCCTGTCACCCCCTCTGATAATCACAGCAGCCTATTTATGATTTCTATAAAAACATAATTTGAAGCATACTGCTTTCCTATATTTCTGGAAAAAAGAAAAATAGCAAAATACTTCATTTCAGCAACTAAATCTGCCACAGACCCCCTATGGGGTACTGACTACCAGCATGTCAACAAGACCATTTCAATGCATGGCTTAGTGTGGACTTGATATTTATCCGTGCTTTTCATGCTTGCCTCGTCAACTAACCTCTAAGTAGTCCAAAGATTTTTTTTTTTCCCCTACTACAGTTCCATCTCTTGAATCTTTCCCAGGGAAACATTCATTTTCCATGACCAAGGAAGAAAGATATACTCTGCACATGACAAAATGGCCAAGCTCCTTTCAGTAAGTGTATACACTGAGATAGTTTTACTAACAAACAAGAGATTTCGAAATCTGCAGGGACGGAATAAAGGATTCAACATGCTTTTCCTGTTAATATTATTTGTAATGCTCAGAGCACTTGAGCACAAGGTCCTGTATGACCAGAGCAATTAGACAATTCCTGATGCCAGAAGCTAACAACGCGAGTAAAACTACAAGGCTGGTAAAAATAAAGCTGATGTTTGAAAAAAACCCCAACAAAGTGACCACCAACTGCCAAAACAGGAACCTGAAGCTGAATTAATCCACCCGTATCTAAGTCTTGTTTCAGGGAAGCTAAGTGTGCCTGAGTATACCAAATGAAACACAGTGATCACGTTCCAATCAGCATAATGAGTTGTGAGATTGTCTGCAAGCCCCAACAGCAGTGACTTCTGTTCTATGAAGATATCAGGGTGAAGCTGATGTATCAGAGACATCACTTTTCCTTTGCAAGTGGCACAATCTCCCTACATAACCAGCTTCAGCCAGTCTGCCAGTGCTACAGACTGCTCCTTTGCAGGCAAGCTATAATGAGGGGACTCCTGCACCAAAGACGTAGGAATCCAGGGTCCCCGTTGTACTGCACCACCTCTAATGCAACCAGAACAAACAGAAGGGGCAGCCTCAAGATACTGTAGAGACTGAGGACACGTACAGCTACTGCAGGAGCATTCAGATATACAAAGTTTTCCAATGACCTACAATTTCAGCTCGATTAGTAGATTTTCCCCAACTATGTAACTCAGTGCAATCATTTGTCACTGAGCTCTGGGGAGCCGTCCAGAGGGAAACAAGACCCGTTTCCCCGCTGCAGCCTGTCACCTGGGCAGTCAGCATCTCTCAGCACTTGCGCTGTTGTATAAATTACATCCCTCACAGCTTGGTCAAGTATGTCCATCATTCAGCACATATGTAATCTTCACTATTTTATTGTCTCATTGATGGAAGAATTAGCTGCACAGTGGGAAACACATTAAGAAAGGACTACCACTTATTTTGCCCGTGTTATGAACTTCTTTATTCCCCTGTAATCTCTTCTAAGGGGGGATTCACATCTACTCAAATCACTTCACAGGAGTCATATATAGCATAACAGAAGCCCTATGCACCAGGGAAAACAAAAAACCCTGCTACTGGTCCTTTAGAGCATCGAACACACCACCCATTGCTGGAGAACGGATCATAATTTGCAAACAGTATGCAATGGCACTGTCCAAGCTAACTCCAGTTCCTTGATCCATTCAGTTGGGAAGGTCATCATCGTTTAGGTCATAACCTCTGTTTCTCCAATAATAAGCCAACCACAGCCTAACAACATGAACCTAGTTCTGTTCTAAGCACCTTGTGGTATTCCCATCTGCCCAGAAAGAATCTATTTATTCATTTCAGAAGCTGGTATCAAATGTGGTGAGGCTATTCAAAACCTTTTTCTGGTTTGGAGATGTAATTTGTGGATCTTGAAGCTGCAGGAACTATGGCGCAGCATCCTCAAATCACATTACAGGAAAACCATCAAGAGATAAAACTTTTTGATCTGTTTTTTTGGTTTTTGTTTTTTTTTCTCTATATTGACATAGTGAGCTGAAGCTACTGATCACTTTTCAAGCTGAGATGGGGCAAAAAAGAAACAAAAAAGAAAAGTAAGATTCAACCCAGAGAAGCTAGAGGTGATGTAAGTGGTAAGGCAATTACCAAGGCAGTGCCATGTATAATCATAGCTCTTGATAAATGAACTTAGAATGCGGAGCAATTTTTCCATTTGGTTGTTCCCAGCCTCCTGACTTTCAGAAATGATTTACCCAATCTTTCTTTCTTCTCTGGGTTATCTAAACAGCTTTGTCTTTTCCATAATATGTGCCCTTCTGCAGTCTTCTCAACCTAGTGCTTCAAGCTGGTATAACTGCAGTGAATGCTGCTGGGACTAGCTTTCAGTTACCACTCATTAACTAGGGCTTTAATATAGTCGCCCATTAGTTTGGTGGAGCTGCTCCTGTCAGCATTAAAATGTGTACTCTTTAAATGACACAGTTTTTTGTCCACTTCTCAGTGCAATTCCAGAAGTTTCTAATACACAATACTTTAGACAGAGTTAAAATTGGCTTACTTGTCAGGCATTTGCTATGCAACAAAAAAATTAATTAGACCTTCACTAAAGATCTAGAAAGGCACTTCATTATGCTCATTTTGACCCATATCAGCCAACATACACTTTTCCAAGAAAAGCCCCAAGATGTTTTCCGAAGTTGGTGATTAGATAAAGCCTGAGATATTTTAGAGACACTTGGGAGAAGAGGTGTTTGTAAAGAGTAGTTGTCCATTGTGGAGAGTTTAAAGCAAAAACACATATAATTTATCCACCTGTTGCAAATGGATCCATCAACATGTGTAAGAATCATTAGCATTTTAACAAAAATCTATCAGATTTAATCAGTCATTAAAGAGGGTCAAAATACATAGAAATTCTTCACTAAGTTATAAGCAGGACTTCTTTCAGCAAAACTCAGCAGCTAGAATATTTCTGTATCTCGCTACCTGTGTATGCATGACTTCATACTCCTCTAATCTTAAGACTTACCATGATGCAGTAAGAAATAGTTTATCAGCTCAGTATCTGTGCAGATCTATACAATATGAATTACAGTATGCTTTGAAATAAAGCTCCACGGTCTATAATCTTCATTCTGGCTGCAGAGGAATAATTACAAATTTGATTCCAGTGCATCAGTGTGCAGTAACCATAGAGCAGCTAAAGGGGTAAAAACCCTGGGACTGTGAGGTTTTTCACTCAATGGTGGCTACATTGTTTCCACTGAGAGTAACCAAGGATGACATTGTTTTCCAGAAAATCACAAAAATATTACCCCAAAAGTTAATTTTTCCCTCTTAAAAAAAATAGTATATCACCATCTTTATGATGTTAATGGAGTTCTGTGGAATGCTTAAGATAATGACTCTGAGCTTGATATAGGATTTAGAGGAGAATATTACTATATACCAGTGCAGACAAACACAAGCTGATTTGGGACTCTTTATAAAAATATCACTATTTATACACTTAGCTGCCTCTGTGATTTAATGGTAGAGCTGCTCACCTCATATGCAAAACCATACCATTATGACTGTGGCATCAATTCATTAATCAAAATGACAGAGGGTCTTATGATCAAATGAGAGAGGTTCTGGTACTTCTTATGACAGCAGTGCTTGTGATACAGCCATACTGGATCCATTTGCGATTGAACTGGAAACCAGCTATTTTCTATACTCCACGGAATTCTGATTTATGATGTGCTTGAAATTACTGTGGATTTCTATTAAAGACAAACACTTGGCAGTAAGGTACCATACTTACCTGTAATTTAGTTATGTAACAGTAGTACCCTCCATAGACCCCACATCCTTTGGGGTTTTTTGTTTTTCAGATATGCAACTTTCAGAGCCAACTTGGCATTTTTTAAGAGTTTGGCCTTTTTCCTGAGGCCCTAAGCAAACCTCAAGCCATGAAGGAGCAGGGAATTTATACAGGCCTGCACAGACTCAATCAGCAGTTTCCTTTCCACTGACATCCACAGGAAGCCAGCATGTATGGAAAGATGGGGGCATGCAGACATCAACAATTACAGATAGGCCACTTTTCCCACATTTGGAAATGAACAGCTCAAGGCTACCTATTTAGTTAGTGTCTTTAATGCATGGGAAACCTCTACTAGCTGGCACATTTTCTCTTTGAAAAGTTTATTCATTTATTCTATTACTCAGCATATGCAATGGTAAAGTAAAGCTGCAAGATGACAAAAAAGGCCCAAAGAAAATGACATTTAGGTGAAATCGTTGTGTTCAAAGGTGGTAAGAACATGTCTAGTTGGTAAGTGTATCGCTTCAAAATAGGTTTTCCTGCCTCAAATGTTTTGGGTATACTCATAGATCCAGACACTAAAATAAAACTTGGAAGGATGACACACAAGCTCATACAGACTCATACATCCGCTTAACTTACACATCCTGAAGACAATATAATCTCCTCTGAAAAGAAGAAATGTATGTTCCAGAACTGCAGCTTCCTCGTTAATTCATTTTATTTGTGCATTTGTAGCCTGTTTATAAAGACTTATTTCTGACTCGGTCTTTAGAAACACCCCCCCTGGGATCAACTGTTCTGGCTCAGGATTGCTTACAGGACAAAAATTACTGACTCAGAATCTATCTAGAAAAAGAAACTGCAAATTTTGGGGACCAAGATACAAAGAGGTGACATACCCTTCCTCAATTGTAACAGAATTCATGATGATGCAGTTTGTTATCTTAACTTTGTCTTTTATGGTACACATGCTGCCGATGATGGAGTGTTTAATGGATGTCTTCTCCCCCACTTGTGTGGATGACCCAATGATGCTGTCTGATCCAACCTAGGGAAGAAAAGAATGGAAACTGGCAAAAGTATCTGGAGCTCTCTGATATGTGCTCTCCATACACCTCTTCCAAAGAGCACATCTCAAGCACTCATCAACAAAGTGTACCCTACTCTACCCTTAGGGATCCCTGGCAGAGGAAATACCTAGAAATTTGGGGGCCATCTCATAGGCAGACAGTTGGACAGTCCTCCCAAGGTCTGTTAGCTTGGTAAAACTCCATTAGCTGGTCAGTCTCTGTAGGCCTCATGCAGTAAGCAAGCATGGTAAGAATACTCCTGCTGGTACTTACTGGTTTCACTAACATCTGCCCAGTGAGACCTGTGAAAAGGAGGCTTGAAGCTGATATTCAACCAAAATGCTTTAGCAAGAAGCAACGCTAAGATGCTGACCCCTTCTGAGTCTGATGTCTTTTGGGAGGCAAACTGCTCAACTACGATGAACTGCCATTAGGGAACAAGAGACTGCAGTGTCTGACTTGGGATTAAGCTAGAATTTTTATCAAACATTTTTAAAGACAGAGATTGAAAGTCAGGAACCCATGGGCAAGCCTACGAGGACACTCTGGGCTGTATCACCTACACTGTAATTCCACACTTCAGAACTCAGCTTGAGTTCCAACAGTGGGACTGAATTTTAGGAAGCAGTTCTTGAAGCAAAGGGCGTGCAGACTGTATTGAAAGAGCAGACATGGGGAACGAGAATACTTACCATGCCTCTGTCAGTGATCTGTGCAGACCCATGAACCAGTGGCTCTTCCAGACCCAGATTAAGCAATAGCTTAGGAACCTGTATGGAAAAACCCACATCACAAGTTAACAGGACTGTGCTGTACCCACATGTTACATCAACAGCTCAAAGATGGCTTTGCTTTCCATTGCACTAGTGCATCTACCATAAACATTTTAACTTAAAGGAAAACATAAGTTCCTGCATTTTAAATTTGCAACCAGATACATGTGGTTTATCATCTTCCTCTTTTGTAAGGAGACAGGTACACTTCCACTGCAGTGCACTGCATGTCTCCTCTCAGCTCAGCTTCCCACCTGTGGACAAGCAGTGGATCGTCACCAGCAAGCGGGCTGGCTCCAGCTGAACACAGTGACATCCTGTACATTACTACAATGTCCAGCATCTGCCATTTCAAATGCAGCTTAACATGTTTTACACCATTCAGTAATGTGTGAGAGGGAAGCAAGTAGTATCAAATGTAAACCAGTAAACTGGCATAAAAAGAGGACTATGTTTAGCCCACTCAATAAGGTAGCATGCTGAGGTACAGGCAACAAAAAAAGAGTTTCAGGTATTTAAGGAGAAAGAAACTGAAGCTGATCAAGTGGCTATTCCAGATGGTAAAAAGCTGCAGAAGAAAAGGCTCTTGACAGAGGGAAGGCAGGTGTTAGATAAGCAGACAAAGCAGCGATGGTAATAGAGAGAGACATGGCCCAAAAGGTAGCCAAGAACAAATCCATGGAGAGTAATTCTGAACTGACTCCTGAAAAGAAAGGGGAGCCAGCGTTGTAGGAGGATGGGATGTCACTCCATCATTCCTCCCTTTCTGGGTGAAAAAGCAGCCTGAGGCATTCTGCATCTCCCAGCATCAGGCTGGGGCCAAGGTCACACACCACAGAAGAGGCGATGACAGCATGGATGGGGATTTCAGGGGAGGTGGGCGTCTTGCAGCAATGCACAGACACAGTGCTATACAGAGTTACTTGCCGCGGTGATGCAATGTACAATGCATCTTGGTAGGACAGAGATGGCAGTCAAAGAAACACTGGAGATACAGAAGGTGGCAAAGTGATGCATGAGTGCAACAAGGTCTGTGTCATGGCAAATCACATGCCTGAGTATGAGGCAGCATGTGCTGGGGCTGGTGCGGAGCTCTACACATGGTGCTGGCCAGCCAGGATGTATGCACTGGCTGTCCACGTGGGAGGTCAACTGGAGCCTCAGCACAGAGATGGTGTCACTGGGTTTGCCTGAAGGGAGGAAGAGGCACTCATGAAATCTCTCTTTTCTCTACCCAGGCACCTGTTTTTACAAAACTCTTAGGAAAGTTTATCTTTGAGATCTCTATTGCTCTGTTAAATTTGGCTGAGAGTTGCCAGCCATTTCCAAAGCGTCTATAAAGGAACTGCCATACAGCATGATTGTGTAAAACAACTTCCTTAGAAAGCTGGGATAACAAGAGCTGATGGCTAGGGAGTGAACCTCAAGAAGCAGATCCCACAGATCTGAAGAAGTTGGGTTCAGATCAGAAAAAATATCTCAAGATCTCAAATGAGATGATACTTGCAGGAAATTGTTTGGTTATTCATAATATGACCAGCCCGTTTCCCTTCCAACATGCAAGGATGGATAAATAGTGCTGTTTTTCATACGATAAGAATTTTCACAGTTAATGCTTCATTCAGATGAGATGAGCTCAGATGAGCTTGCACCTCTCAGCTATCATTGCAGGCTGTCTGTTGTCCCCTGTAGACATTTCCACATCTGTAGCTCTTTACATCTTGAAGATGGTTCTTCCCACTAGACTTGTGTTTTCTTTGCTTTTTAAAAAACAAGAGTAGGTTAGATCCTTCGGTCCAAGGTGCAGACACTACAGAAAATGACCAGCTTATCAAAACACCAGAAGCTAGGCCAATCCACCTGGATGATGCCTTTGGTGAAGGGATGTTGTCCTCACCTGACACATAGCTGGGCACCCATAGAAGATAGATCCAAGAGAGGAACACACACCAAAGCATTCCTACAGCATAGGTTGGAAAGATTCCTACTATCCAGTGTTGCTCTGTGGGAAGGGAAAGAAATGAGGAAAGGCTCTTGCCCTCCTCAGTGGAAAGGTGGTGTGGTGAAATAAATAAAGGATTTTACTGGCCAGAGCAAAGCCCTGCAGCCTGAGGGGTGACCCAAGAAAGCTACCAGCATTTTGCTCTCAAAAGGAAGGTTAGATAGGGGGCAGGAGTCAGAGGGAGTGCCTGGGTCAAGAGAAGGTTTAAGATGTGTTTGGATTTAATTCATCTTACAAAGAAACTATTTCCTGCTATTGAAGATAACTCCCTCCTGAACCCACCTGCCCACACACAGGCTGCAGGCATCCAGAAACTCAGCTGGAAGTGAAATGATGTGAATAAAGTGTTTCCTCACCAGAAGGGCAATGGGTTAGGATGCCATTCCTTCCCACAGCTACTGGACTGGACTGCTACTGCTCTGTGAGTCTGTCCTCTTGGACAGCAAAGTTATAGGTCCTGGCTTTGCAGCCAGGGATTCAGAAGCTGGTCTATGAAGACAAAGATAAGAGCAAACAAGACACCAAAAATCTTCCTTAGAGACCAACAAAACAGGTAAAAAAAAAAAGCCGATAAAATTAAATGTGTACCTTTTATGAGGATTAGCAAGAGAAACAAAATGCAGTGGCACTGAAAAAAGGAACTCCTTTCTCACAACCCCTCATTAAGCTCCATTTTATGTTTTACCTCCACATAGTTCCCTTAGAAATTTTACCATTCTAGAAAAGTTAAAAATTCAAAGAAAATCCTTTTCAACATTGAAGGCCCCAATGTGATTTCAAAACACTAATTCTATGTACCACCCAGGAGCAAACACATTTCCTGAACTGACCAAAATGTAGAATATTTAGGTTAAAAAAAAAAAAAAACCAACACAAAAAACCCACATGGAGTCTGACTGGCTCAACTCAATAACTTTTTACTGAAGTGACTGCTGCCAAATGTACACGCACTTCCCCTAGCAAGCAGTGTTCTCCGTTAACCCTTTGAGCACACTTGTTCCTAATATTCTTGGGGAAAGTTTTCCCTTTCTGACAGCAGTGCTGCCTCCCTCCTCTCCTCCTCATGTCCCTAACTGCAAAACAAATCACTATTTCTGTGCTTCTCTACAGGGACCAATGATAAAAACCTCCAGTGTGTGAACTCACTCTGCCATGCTGCAATTCTAATTTGCATAAATTAATCCATTAATTTTATTGAAAAGAAATCAACTCAATCTAAGATAAAAGGCAAGGCAGTGACCACTTCCAGGATTCCCAATACAACCTTATTGCTCTCCCAGCCCCACTTATCTTGAGTCTTTCCCCACTGCACTCTCTACTGGTCTTTCAAAATGAGAGGAAACTGTTCACGCCTGATGGCAACAAAGTTCATCACTAGCAGAGCAAAGTAAGAACTTGTACATTGCATCAGCCAGTTTAGTAAAGAAAAAAAACCAAAACAAACCCAAACCCCCAAACATATTTAAAGCTTTTAATCATCAGCTCACTAGCTAGTACAGGATTTCTCTAATCCTCCCCTGTGAACTTTTATTTTATGTAGTTTTACATAAAATATGAGCTTTACACTCAGTAGTGTAAAAGTGAAAGCTACAACAGATCAACATTTCACCGCTGCGTCACCTGGAGTGCCACTGCAGTAGAACCTGTCCATAAAATAATTCTTTCATAATGGAAAGCATTACACAATTCGAATGCATGGGTAGTTTAAGTCTCGCTGCAAATCTTTAATACCTTTGTCATTATCACTTAGACAAATACCTGTTAGGAAGAGTCCAGTCAGAACTGATCTTGCTTTTAGGACATGCAGGACATTGATTAGATGATCTATCAAAACTACTTCCAGTCTCATTTTCCACGCTTCTTGGCTCTTTGTCTGCAGGTCTTGCCACTCCCAAAAACCAGAAGAGTGGGGGGGGGGTTTTCATAACTAAATCACAGCTATGGAGAAAATTAATGGCAGAACTGTTTCCTGGCCTTATGTCCCTATCCAGCAACCAGTAGAGTGATGTGCCTAGATAACATGGCACTGGTTCAATTCCCACACACTCCTCAGCTATATCGCTGGGAGACACTCCTGGAGGTTAAAGTGTCCCGTAAACTGCTGCTGTATTCCCACATGGCAGTTCGGTATTTTTCTCACCTGTCGGTTAGCTTCAATATACAACCCAAGAGTATTCACTCGGTAGCACAGTCCCTCTTTCATTATATGGACGTAGCAGCGCAGTTTTCCTTCATCGAGAGATTCATTCATATCTCCTCTATGATCATTCCAACAAGAGTTATCTGGAGCAGGTTTCAGCAAGCTATTATCTTCCTTTATGAAGCTATAAATGTCTGGAGAACACACACATGCATGAAATTAGACAGGATTTAATGAAATACTTTCTGAGGAGGAATACTATTAAAATACTGTTGGTGAAAGGAAATCTTTGCCTCACATCATCTGAATGGCTAGATACCTAGCAATCATTAACAGATTTTATCACATGTAGTGAGTAAGTGCTTATTTTTATTCTGCAGGTGGGAACCAAGGGATCAGGACAGATGCAGTGTTTTGCCCAAGGTCATACAAGGAGACAGAGGAAATGCTAAAAATAAATTCCAAGATCTGAGATCCTGTCCAGTTCCTAGTGCAAGGGAGGTTAAAGCTTAGTCTGCTGTCATACACAATTTTAGGAACTCCCTCCTAAAACTACATTTTCAAAAGTGCATTTACCTGTACTGTATTCCAGAAGAAACAATATAGAGCTCCTAGCTGATTTGCTCTCGATTTACACCAAAATACGGGAGGACAAAAATATTTATGTAATGCACAGTAGTGTTTGAAAAAAAAATCTAGTATAATCTTTGCTATCGTGAAGTATAAGAGGAAAAAAAAAAATCCCCAAACTAGTGTTTCAGGCTAATTCTGTACTCTGCCCAGTAATTCAGCTATAGCACATGGGCTTTAAAACCATCATCAAATCTTCGGTACTTGTACTGACCTAATGATGCTTGTTCTTTTTTCTTTTGGTCGCCTTCTTTATTGTCTAGTACTTGCTGCAATGATGTAGGAGAAGAGAACTGTTTCCTAACCAGATGTGGAATCAGTTCACTCCGGAGAGATGTGATTGTCCTGGGGAAGGAGAAGCACACACGAAGTCCATGAATGCTAAAACTTACATGCCTTCATTTTCTTTGCATAACATTATGAAACATTTTGAACATTTTTCATGAGAACAAATCAAAATGCCAGGTACTCCAAGATCCACTAGTCACATGCTTCCTTAACGCATTGCAATATGAGGAAGATTCAAAATAAGGAAAAAGCTTCATCTTCAGAACTAATTCCCCTATATTTTAACAGTTGTCTATAATTTAATATGGCATCACCTTGCAATTCATACTTGTGTACAGATGGAATGCAGAACACTACCAACATCCTAACAACAACTGAAATCCACTTTATGTGGCATCAATTAACAGGAAAAGAGAGAATAAAGTTCCTATAGAGGAAAAACCAAAGAAGCTCCTTTTTTTGTGACAAAAAAACCGGAAACGCTCAAGGATATCTGAAATATCTGATCCTTAAATTAAAATATTTATGACATAGACATTAATTACTACCTCCTGCTCACATGAAACATCAAGAACATTTTGAGGACTCAGTTCTTTAACCAAGAGAAATCAATATATTTTAACAAGTTTAGGTCCCAAGAGTTTCACGCTCTTTAGGTGCCCCAATCCAAAATACATCAGTCAACAGAAAAGTTCCCAAAGGCTTCAGCTGGCAATACACCCATCTTCCCTGCATACAGATTTCAACTTTCATTATATTCATTTTGACACCCCAATAGTAGGAGGCAGACAAATCACATGAGGAGTTTGTGATAAAGTAGGGACTTGACCCCAAGCCACCTATGCCTTAAACAAGGACCCTAATCACTAGATTATTTTTCCTCTTACATTGATTTATACATTACAGTGAATCAAGAAAAACCCTGCCCCACAGACAAATATCTACTGTACAATGGGATTATAGCCCTGGTAATTTAACTTTTACCACTGGAAGATAATTTTATTTTTCAATAAACTATTTGGAAAAAAAACCCCAAATCAATAGTTTTTAAAATTGGAGTGTATGAGATGCAGTCTTAAAAGAGCTTTAGTGTTGTTGTTTCATTATTTTAACAATCTGCATTTAGTTACTGAAGTGTGGATTATTTAAAAAAGGGCTTGGGAAAATCATGCGGAAAAAGAACTCAAACTTGGCATGTATAAGAGGAAGTGCTAAACTTCAGAGGAAGGATTGGGAGAACTAACACAGAGGAACTCAACAAATGATAACCCTCAAAGAAAGAGGAGTTATTTAGAATGGAAGACAGCAAAACTAGAAACTAACTGTAGATTAAATTTAAAAAGGAAAGTACTAGAATGAGTCTCCTGAAAGTGATTTTGGTTGGCAAAATCTCTAGCCAGCGGGGATCTTAAACAGTTCAAACTTGAAGAAACATACAGCTCATAACCCACCCAGGCTCCTGTTCAGGTCAATGATAGTGAAACAGACAGTCTTTCCTGCCTCTAACTTTGATGGGAAGATTCAGATGTGATCACCAGTTCAGCCCTACGAACAAATACAGTGTTTTCCTTTTTCTTGACAAACCTTCCCTTCAGTCCTCCACTGTAGGTTGTGTCACATCCTCCGTCCTCCCAGATCTGAAATTCTGCTTTTATTTTTTATTACAGGCAAGGAAAAGCTCTAGCCTTCAGTCTCTCCTCCTTCTCGAAAAGAACATTAGAATCACCTTCAGATAGCTGTATTTCAGGAACTAATGAAGCAAAACACTTGATTCTTTAATCACCAAATCTCTCCCTGCTAACCGCTTACAGGCACGCTCCGCTATGGCCGTCCTGGCCCCACGCTCTGACACACGTGTGGCTGTGCAGATGGGCAGTTTACTAGCTTACAATGTTTGCCCGCAGCTGTGCCATTCAGCAATGATTTCCTGCTTGGGTTTTATACTCCATCCAAAACCGACAATCCTGTGTTTCCCTCAGAGGTTGGCTATGGCATTTATAAGATATATTACCTATAAAATATCCAAGTATTTGGCAGTCTTAAATAGTCTGATGCAGAGGACAACACAACACAGTAGGAAATGAAAGCAGTGGAAAGGGGGAAAGTCAAAGTTTTGCCTGGTTTTCGATGGTTTAATCTTTCTTGGCCAAACTCCTGAAGCTTTCCTGCAATTCTCTGAAGTGCTAGCCATATTCCTTCAGCAAAGGTGGAGTAAATCTCTGGGTCATCCATAAGATGTGTCCCAGAAACACACCCTTCTTACTGGAAAAGGAAAAACAGGAAGGTTTGCCTTTGCTTGCTGTTAAGCAGAATTTATATGTGACATCAAAGGAATTTGCCTTTGGAAAGTATTAAAAAATACGCAGTAGGGCACTCAGTGACAAAAATTTGGGAATTTTTTGTGACAGATCTTGCAAATGTGAATATACGAAGTGATAGCATGAGAATATTATCTGACTGTCAACAGCAGAGGAAACCAAACATCTGGCTGGGACTAGGAAGGAATTTAAATCAAAGGAAGGATAGGACTGAAGACCCTTCATCAAGAGAGAAAAAAAAATAGCAGGAGTTTGGAAGAACCAACTAGCCTGTAACCTAGATTCAGAAGAAAACAAACCAAAAACGTTTCTGGTCTAGTGTGTTAAAAATTCTTACAATCAAATCCTCAATTACATGTGCATATATTAAGAAGAAATATGTGTAAGACTGCATATACTGAAGAAAGCAGTCTTTTTTTATTCCCTTCACGTTTTAAAAATTGCCATCACCCTGGTTTCTAAGCTGTTATTTTCTTTAGCATCAATGGAATACCCACTGAGATCAACATAAGGAAAAATCTACTATGACCAGGAGAAAGAAAGTGTTAAGGTGGGCAGAAGGAGGGAAGGGACACAAAATTTTGGCAGAAATCCAATTCTAAGGCAAATCAGAGTAACTGTGTTCTGACACCTCACAGGAAAATCCGGATGGTAGAGAGGATAAAAATGAACCTGCTTTTGAGAAACATTTGCCAAAATAAACACGCTTTCATAAATTCCAGTTCAAGCGATGAGCCTTTTTCGTGATCTTTCTTTTCCCAAAATTTGATTTTTGATGTGGCATCTGTCTGTTTTCACCTCAACAGAAAGTAGTAGGTTTTCAATTAAACAGCTGAAGATTGAGAGTGGTGTTAAATTGCCGCTTGTAAAGGAAGGTGGTGGTGGGGGGCTAATCCCTGGAGCACCTTATGTGGCTTCAATCCTGTACAAACAACAGGAGATGGCAGCAATTTTGAAAGGGGTCGATTCTGATCACATTTTAAGTATATAAAAATTAGGATTATATCTAGGATGGAATCCTCCACTCCCACAGCAGGTCACATCAAAGGGGGATATTGGCAAGAGACAGTGCATATGTGGGGAAATGAAGACAATGGGGCAGACGAAAATTCATAGTGCCTGTGCAAGACTCAGCTGGGAATTCAAGAGAAAATTTTTAAAAACAAAGGAACCTCGTGGAAAATTCTATGTACCTAATAGCTCAGTCATTTCCAGTCAGCTCCACAAGACTGTAGACTCAAGACCTAGACATTATAAACCTAGGATATTCAAGGTTAATTTTATTTAAAACCTAAAACGTTACGGTGCAAAAATAGATACTTGGTCAAACGATTGTAACTTTACCAAGTACGATCACCATAGGAGAGAAATCAGTACCACGCCTTTTGAATCCCTTTATCATCGGACCCTGTGCACCACGACATCTTCCCAGCGTTCCTGGGATTTTTGCATGACAGCAAGGGCACATATAGATAAAGTTTGTGCTAAATGAAAAATTTTTACTTGTGAAGAATATTAGGGGAAAATACCCTAGATCTTTAAGTTTCATATTTAAACACAGCTACACAGAAGTTTTCAGTGAGTTTTAACCACAAATGAAATTAGAACAGTCTGTGATATGGCAGAATTAAGTTTGTATCTATGTATACTATATCATATTATACTGTATTATATTACATTATATTACATACATTGCAGCCCACAGAGGGCCAGCTTTTACTTGTTGCTGAAATGCAACTGCCTCTGGGATGAAGGGAAGCTTATTGAAACTTCACTAACAAATGAAAAACAATGGAGCCAACTGAAACACAAGAAAAGTTTTGGGAAAAAAACCCAAATGTTGACTACCTAAACTAAAAAAAAATATATATATTTTGCAATTATGCTTCTCAACAGGCTGTGACTTCTGCTCTTAACACCTACGTATTGCTGGAGACTCTGTCTTCCATATGACACAGAAAACAATGGTTCTGACTAATGCTGGGAAAGAAAAGTGCCATAAAATATTTTACAGTAATAGAAGAGTCTATTTAAGTCTAAGTTTAGGTGACCTTGCAACAGTCTAGGTACCAGGAGGTGCTGTTTGGCTTGACTCACAGCAGGAACATGAGCATCCACAGCTTTTATTTCCTGCAGCTAGTTCTCACTAGCTTCAGACACCCTGAACACAACTGTCAGTTCCATTTACCGGCTGTCATTCATTTTCATTTTCCATGTTTAATGTTAAACACCATAAAACGGTATTAATGAGTATTAGCATTTTAATATCCTCCCTGTTTTATTAATCTGTGATGAAGCATGAAATCTACTATTGCTGTCAGCACCCACCTGTGAAATCTGCTGTTACTCTCCATGGGCTAGTTGCAGGGGGTCTTCCCTTGCTATCATTATTAGCACAATCAGCTACATCTACAGGTGCAGATAGTATTCATGATTCCTCACTACAAACAAGCGGATTATTAGCCCTTTTATACCTACTTTTGCTTTTTTTTTTTTTTTTTTTTTTTTTTTAACAGCCTAACATTAGCTCTTGTACAACTATGCAAACATACAGTGGGTTGGGTTCTGATCCTGGCTCCATGGCTCTCAACAGAGATTCTTCAGATCACATCAAAAGGAAAACATGAAGCTGTATTTCAGACTGGTGCTCATAATTAACGTTAGAAATGTATACATAAATACAACTAAACAAATCCTTAGGCACTTATAGTTTTGGCCAAAAAGAAGTTGCATGTTTAT